GAGATAGGACAACCATTTTCGTTACGAATACCAACTGACCTTTAATTATAAATTATAATAAATCGTTTTCAGAAGCTCTCTTATCTTACAAGCCTACATAGCTCAGCCGCACTAGCTGAAATAATTTTGATTTTTGAAATTTCAACAGCTAACCAAATTTAGAAGTATCTCAGTAAAAAAAAACATGAAATAAAGTATTTATAAACTATCTATATACCCTTTTTTTACAGGCATGGTCTCCAAGTCACTTAGTCGCATTATTTAAAATTACTAATGATTCTTGAAAAATCGACAGCTTACCAAATTAAAAATTATCTAAAAAAATTGGAAGTATCTCAGTAAAAAAAACATGAAATAAGTGTACCCTTTTTTGACAGGCATGGTCACCAAGTCACTTAGTCGCATTATTTAAAATTACTAATTGATTCTTGAAAAATCGACAGCTACCTAGTAAAAATTATCTCAGTAAAAAGGCATATAAATATAAGTATCCATGTAAATTGGATCTTTTGACCGCTCCTAAGGTAAGTGAATAACAAGATATGTTTGCTAAGCTATGAAAAAGAAAAGAAGTAATTTATTGCTTGAATTTATTATCATATTTGTTGCTAGTATCGCCATCCTATCAAATGAATCTATATGTGGAATCAATCCATGGAATAATTATTACAATTATTATATCCCCCGAAAATTATTTAGAGAATTTCTATTATACAAAGGACAAGCGCATACAGTCGCATGTTCTGAACCATTATTTTACATTTATATTATAGCCCATGTCCTGCATAATTCAGTATGTGTACGGCATAAAGGTTGTTACTTGGAAATTCACCAATCCACAGTTAGCGTGTCTTCTACTACGGTTTATCTCTGTAATCAAACTTAATGGCCAACTAACGCCCAGATGAACTCGCGTGCTAACCGGCCCAAGCCAAAATACTAACTAAGCGTAATGCATGAATTAATTTTGCAAATTTAATTATTTTTGCTGTTTAATAATTCTCATGAAAGCATTTCTGAATAAAACTATTACTATAGTTCTAGAATCAACTTTGACTGCATTTTCATTATCACATCACCAGGTTTAAAATTAGCAATGACCTATTGCTGTAATTTTTTAATATTTATAGTTCGTTGAATAGTATTTATTTATGAGAAAATATAATTTATAAGAAAATGGTATAATAGAAAAACTTTTAAATATAAGTAAACAAATGGTACATACTTATGAATGTGAATCATATCTAAAAACGCCAATTATTACTTATTAATTATTTTTGAAGTAAAACTTCTTTAGGTGCCCTTAAGGTGTAAATCCGTACAAATGCAACGGAAGTGCGTTACGGCAGATACGATAAGAGTCGAGTGCCAATGATTCGTAATTCTCTCTCGATGATATACTTTCTATACGGATCGATTGTGATTAGTTGTCGTGTATGTGAATAGAGATCTGTCGTTGTATGCGTACCGATATCAACCAGAAAATCGGCATATAGAAATGAACATTTTAAAGTTACTTCGTAGTACAAATCATAATTTAATGAAAAATGCCTGAATCAGAAGAATATTCTACCCTATCCCCCGTAAATAATAAAACAAATTAAATATTTGTACTAAACGTAAGTTTATTGATTAGAAACTATTTCTATATTATTCGTAATTTCTATAAATCTTTCGAGTTATTGAAATGGAGAATATTTTTTAGACAAAACAGATATTAAAGCTGTTCAAAGAATGATATTGATATTAAAGCAGTCAATGAATGTATGTTAATTTTAATTACATGAAGTTCTTCAAACACAATTACAAGTTATTTGTTTAGTCGTTGTTTAATATAATCCACTGTGTGAAATATTATAGAATTTATTAATCAGCAATTACTTCATTTCTCTAATGAAGGTTCATTTCTGAATGCTAATTACAATGACAAACCGATCATGTCACATTTGAAGTACGACTTTAATTGCATTATTGTTTTTAAATATTATACATATTTTAATGCTATTATAAATATATAATTTATAATTTATCATTATATAAATGTGTATAATGGTTGATACTAATAAATGTGTGCATCGCGAGTGTTACCGTATTACTAATTAATATTATTCAAAATTGTTATATGATGCATTTATTTTTACTTAAATAACAGTAGCAAGTAAGTTTTACTCCAATCGTGTGTGAACCCTACGCGCACTCTTTTTTTTTAATAATTCGAGTATTACGAAATCTTTCATAACAATGGTCATGAAAAATTTCAAAATCATGTTTTTCAAGTACAACTTATATGTAAAAATAATATAAAACGATATATTTGAACCATGAAGTCAAACGTTCATAAAAAAGAAACAGAAAAAAATTTAAGTTAATTATACATCTAATTAAATAAAGAAACATGTAGTAATGATAATGAATTTGTAACCATGCTTTATTGAAGAGATAAAACAAAGCACTGAAGCAATCCGTTGCACATTTAAGAAAAAAGGGTTAGGAAATGAAAGAAATTATAAGATTTTAATTATCACGCAGAAAAAGTACTAGGTCGGAGATTTTGAGTTCTTTTGAATCCAGATTTTTTTTTTAGCTCTTTGATGGATCATTTTTTGTATTACCATGTATTCCAAGCGATGAACACATAATATTAAGTGGGCAATATGTGCTCTTTTAATTTTCTTTTTTTATTAATTAGTTATGATGTTCTTGTGCACAAATTTAATGTTTAATAAATTTTGATTGCTGAATGATGACACACATTATGTGTCGAAACGTTTAATAGAATAAACAATTTTTATGCAGATATGTATTAACGTCGACATAAAATTCATATATACTTAATATGGATATTTCCGTATTTTATTGCTCCCAGAGACTTAAATGCTTCCAAATTGATGATAAAACTCTAAAAGTTTTAGCTCTTAACATTAACGTTCAGATAGTGCGCAATTCAATCAAAGCTTCGTATGAAAATAGCATGAAAAAAAAATCGAAAATATTATTAATACTATTCGTGTCATCTTTTATTAAAAATTCGACACTCTACAAAACGGGCTTTTTATAATTTGTTTTGTAAAGCGTCGAATTTTGAATAAAACTGAATTTTAAATTCATTTGTTCGCAAAGTTATATCTAAAAAACATTTTTAAAATTTTTGAACATTTTTCCATGCTATTTCCATACAAAACTTTGATTGAATTGCGCACTATCTAAAAGGCAATAATATTGAGAACTAAAACTAGAGAATCCTTTTCATTAATTTGGAAGAATTTGAGCCCCTGGGAGCAAGGAAATTCGAAAATGTCTATATTAAGAAATATATATATATATATATATATATATATATATATATCTTAAGAAAATTCAAGCCTTAAATAACTAAGATTTTATATAATCAAATTAATAAACATATAGCTTAATACTCAGAATACTATTACAGATTAAATTTACGAATAGTAAATATATATCTATCATATTAAAATTTTATCCAGTAATCTCAATTATTATTTTTAATTAATTTATTTTATAAATTCCGAGATTCAGATATTCACAAATACACATTGTGATTTATGTTTCGCTGCCAAAATTGTTATTTTCAGCTAGACATTAAATCATAAAGCCAGGTAGGATAATTTCCGCGAACCATAAACTTTTTAGCGCATTTC